CTATGAGCTTAGGTAGTCATTGAGCTGGTAGTTATAGAGTTATCTGTAAATCTATGAGCTTAGGTAGTCATTGAGCTGATAGTTATAGAATTATCTGTAAATCTATGAGTTTAGGTAGTCATTGAGCTGGTAGTTATAGAGTTATCTGTAAATCTGTGAGCTTAGGTAGTCATTGAGCTGGTAGTTATAGAGTTATCTGTAAATCTATGAGTTTAGGTAGTCATTGAGCTGGTAGTTAGTTAAGGATAATTGAAACATGCAGTTGATAAATTCATAGGTACATGAAAAGCTTTCGTCAATCTGCATCCTCTGAATCAATCAGCTTTCTGCAACACCATAAAAAGATAAAGTGGGTACTAGAATTACTGGAGGAGAGAGAACCCCAATTAGTAAGTAAAACAAAAAAACATCTATTTTAAAGAAAATCACCTTGTGATATAATATGTTAAAAAAAACCTTCAAGTGTTATCAAATTTATAGATAGTCAGTGGAGATTTCTCTGGTGTTTGAAAATGAAGACGTGTTTTATATAAGCATGTACACATTGTTTCTGTGAGTAGTAGCCTATATTATCACCTAAGTTTAAGTAGCTACTTTTTTGTTAATTAATAGATACAAATATTTATATTTTGGCAACTAATTTGCTGTTGGCTTAGGAAAATCATGAGAAAGACTTTTTGTGTGTGTCGTATTGGCTAGAACTCTGGACTCTCTTAATAGAAAGACTGGCATACTTACCTCTCTTCAATTTTAAACTTTGTGAAATGTTTGACACTAGTTTAACACTTATGAAACATTCTACACTAGGTTTTTAAGATTTAATATGAGTTGAATTTGAAGTAGTTGATAAAAGTCACCTGCAACTTTTAACTTCCTTAGAAATTATTTGTTGTTTAACTTTCAACGTACGAATTTGTTTTTAAACTGTTCACTACAGGTTGTGATTACAATAATATTGTATATTATTGATAAAAGTAACAACGACAATTGGAAATAATTGACTGAAAAAATTGGTAAAGTTAATAGGAGTGGTGAGCAGTAATCATTGGGATCAACTGTAGTATTTTTTAAATATTTCTTATATTATTATAGATCCAATAATGTCATGGACACACAAATAGTTAAGAGAAATGTATTAATAGAGATTATGGTAATTGTAGGTTTAACAGATTTAATGGAATTAAAAGTTAGTTTAACATTGTGAGTTGGTATTGAACCTTTTCATGATTTTACACAAAAGTATTTCATAAGAGAAACATTTATAACGTTTTTAATCTTACAGTTGTGATATAATTAATCAAAGAAATATGAGTTTATTGGTATAATTTTCCTCCCCCCTAAAAAAAGAGAAACCCAAGTTGATTATATGAAACATATATGTGTATGTATACAGTAAGTCCTGTAACCTATGTGTACAGTAAGCCCTGTAACCTATGTGTACAGTATGTCCTGTAACCTATGTGTACAGTAAGTCCTGTAACCTATGTGTACAGTAAGTCCTGTAACCTATGTGTACAGTAAGTCCTGTAACCTATGTGTATAGTAAGCCCTGTAACCTATGTGTACAGTAAGTTCTGTAACCTATGTGTACAGTAAGTCCTGTAACCTATGTGTACAGTAAGTCCTGTAACCTATGTGTACAGTAAGTCCTGTAATCGTGGTATGTGTACAGTAAGTCCTGTAATCGTGGTATGTGTACAGTAAGTCCTGTAACCTATGTGTTTGTGTGTACAGTAAGTCCTGTAACCTATGTGTGTATGTACAGTAAGTCGTGTAACTTATGTTTTATGTATACAGCAAGTCCTATAACCTATGTGTACAGTAAGTCCTGTAACCTATGTGTTTGTGTGTACAGTAAGTCCTGTAACCTATGCGTTTATGTGTACAGTAAGACCTGTAACCTATGCGTTTATGTGTACAGTAAGTCCTGTAACCTATGCGTTTATGTGTACAGTAAGACCTGTAACCTATGCGTTTATGTGTACATTAAGTCCTGTAATCTATGTGTTTATGTGTACAGTAAGTCCTGTAACCTATGCGTTTATGTGTACATTAAGTCCTGTAACCTATGCGTTTATGTGTACATTAAGTCCTGTAACCTAGGTGTTTGTGTGTACAGTAAGTCCTGTAACCTATGTGTGTATGTACAGTAAGTCGTGTAACTTATGTTTTTATGTATACAGCAAGTCCTATAACCTATGTGTACAGTAAGTCCTGTAATCTATGTGTTTATGTGTACAGTAAGACCTGTAACCTATGCGTTTATGTGTACATTAAGTCCTGTAATCTATGTGTTTATGTGTACAGTAAGTCCTGTAACCTATGCATTTATGTGTACAGTAAGTCCTGTAATCTATGTGTTTATGTGTACAGTAAGTCCTGTAACCTATGCGTTTATGTGTACATTAAGTCCTGTAACCTATGTTTTTATGTGTACAGTAAGTCCTGTAACCTATGTTTTTATGTGTACAGTAAGTCCT